AATCTTAAAACAACAACAACAACTCAGCTCCCACTATGGTGGCTGGTTTAAAGAAAAAATGTCTGATATTACTTGGGAGTTCAGCTGTAAAAAGACAAAGATGAGGGACTAACAAATCCAGATTACTCAAACCATCAAAAGTCTTGCCTTCTTTCCTACGAGGTGTTTGGAAATGTTCAGTCTGAGAGGGATCAGATTGCAGAGCGGTGGCCTTTTAGCCTATAGGGTCTTGTCACTGGAACTTGGTGCTGCCTGAAAGTTAACTATTTTAGGTCCAGCATTTTATTCCAAAATGAAAGTACTAATTATTATTTTTTTTAAAGACATGAGCTGTTACCTCCAAGGGATTTAGTACTGTCCTTTCTTGGGCACTAATGATACATACCTATTTTTTTAAAAGCTCTTTTAAAAAGATAACATGATGAAATCCCAGTTACAGCTCAGGTGAGTCCTTTTGCATCAGAGGGGGACTATTTTCAAGGCCCTGGGAAGGCACCATGGACTGCATTTATAGCTTTCTTCTGTTTATCTTCTCAGCACAGCTTAGTCCCTAACCTGGGAAGAATCAAATACTCTGGATGGTCCTGAGAATCCACAGTTGAACAAGAGAGTGTGAAGGGGTCTTCATGATGGTCCAGAGTCACCCCTGCTTACAGCAAGGGAAGGGGGCAAGGCACAGAGAGGGGTGGAGACCCACCTCTAGTTTTTAAGTGAGGTGATGAGCAGGCTTTGAAGATCAAGTCTATGATAGCTAATGTCAGGTCCATCACAGCCTACAATGGGCTAGCTTAGTTTCCCCCAAACTGAAGTGGAATCAGCCCAGCTTTTCTTCAAAAGTTTGCCACTCATATATGCATTTTAAGAAAAAGATGGTTTGGGGATGCATGGGTGGCTCAGTTGGTTAAGCATCTGCCTTCGGCTCAGGTCGTGATCCCAGGGTCCTGGGATCGAGTCCCACATCGGGCTCCTTGCTCAGTGGGGAGCCTGCTTCTCCCTCTGCCTGGAACTCCCCATGCTTGTGCTCTCTCTCTCTCTGTCAAATAAATAAATAAAATCTTAAAAAGAAAAAGAAAGAAAGAAAAAGGGGCGCCTGGGTGGCTCAGTCGTTAAGCGTCTGCCTCCAGCTCAGGTCATGATCCTAGGGTCCTGGGATCGAGTCCCACATCAGGCTCCCTGCTCCGTGGGAAGCCTGCTTCTCCCTCTCCCACTCCCCCTGCTTGTGTTCCCTCAGCGGGAAGCCTGCTTCTCCCTCTCCCACTCCCCCTGCTTGTGTTCCCTCTCTCGCTGTGTCTCTCTCTGTCACATAAATAAATAAAATCTTAAAAAAAAAAAAAAAAGAAGAAGAAAGAAAAAGATGGTGTTTTGTCTAATTTGGCAAATGAAGGCTTAGGGTTTGCTAGCATTCAACATGACACTTTATTTCTTTCTCTCTTGCAGATGATTCAGTGTGGCTCTGAACCCGGTAGGTGTGCTAGGGAATGGGTATTTGGGGCTGACAGAACAGTTGGACTTTTGGGGGGCCCAAGTCCAGGCAATGGGTCATTGGAGAAAAGGTACAGGGTGAAACATTGCTTTGTTAGCTGCTGTGGATGAAGCGTCTGTCACCTGGCAAGGCAGAGCTCCCAGGTTTCAGATGGGCTGGCTTCCTGGCCAGTAAGAGGGGCACAGGCAGGACAGGAATGACCCTTCAGGGTGGGAAGTGAAGCCTGACGCTTCTGGGAGATCAAGTGCTGTGATAGGGAGGTCACTTACTGTTGAGAACAGGAAGCAAATGTTTTAGAGAAGGAGTGTTTGAGATAGTAGTATTTGAAGAATGGGTGAGCCTCTGCCCAAGAAATGTGGATGGAAAGGATGAGCTGGAGGAGAGATGGTGCCGGCAAGGATTAGGAGGTAGGAAGGGCAGTTGTATGGGCCAGCCGGCTGGAGTGCAGGCTGAGGGGTGAGGAAGGCAGGACCGACCTAACGAGCATGTCAGATACACAGGGACAGGCACTGGGGTGGTCCCGAGGGTCCCGTGGGTTGGGGCCAGGAAGCTGAGCTTCTCCTCGGCCATAAAACAGCCAGCACTAAGAAATGTCTGGCCTGGCCTGGCCTGCCTTAGCAGGAAGAAGAGATGAACTGTGAGTGAAGGACGGGTCAGGGTGGGCCACTGAGAGGAGATGGCACTGGACTGGGCCAAGAGGAGAGTGTCCGAGGCAGTTTTGTTTCTTCCCAGGACCGTCTCTAGAGTGGATGGTCCAACACACTCTGACCCCAGGAGACTTGAGGGACCTCCAAGTGGAACCTGTTAAAAGCAATGTTGCCATGGAGGACTATTCCATTTTGATGAATGTCAGCTGGAGACTCCGGGCAGATGGTAAGTTTGAATCAAGCAATAAAGCCTGAAGTGTCTACTAACGCAGAAAAGTGCAGACTGGCCCATTAACTCCACCCCTGGCATAAACCCAACAGAATATATACAGAAGTGCACCAAAAACCTCATTCCGTGGTCCCTCCTTATCTGCGGCTTTGCTTTCCATGGTTTCAGTTACCTGCAGTCAACTGCACTCTGGAAGCAGGTGACCCTCCTTCTGACATACCTTCCGCAGGTCAGCAGGAGCCTAACGCTCTATCACCGTGCCTCCGTCATTCACCTCACTTCACCTCCTCACGTAGAAGAAGGGTGAGCACAGTACAATAAGACAGTTTCAGAGAGACCACATTCACATAACTTTTATTACAGTCTATTATAATTGTTCTATTATTATTGTTGTTCATCTCTTGCTGCGCTTGATTTATCCACTTTATCGGAGGTATGAATGAATAGGAAAACGCATAGTATATATAAGGTTCAGTACTATCCATGGTTTCAGGCTTCCACTGGGGGTCTTGGAACATATCCCCTGCAGATAAGGGGGGACTACTGTACTAGATTGTTCCCAGTAGCGTTATTCATAACAGCCCCAAACCGGAATGCATCAAATTCCTGATGACAGTAGAATCGCAAATCCAATCCAGTGCAGCGATGAGCATGAATGATCTGTAACTAAACCCAGTGTGCGTGAAGCTCCCAAACCGAAGAAGCCAGATTCAGGAGTCCACACTCACATCCGAACGCAAACCTGAGTGGTTACAAGTCAGAGCAGTGGTAACTCTTGGCTCGGGAGTGACTGACAGGAAGCATGAAGGGCACTCCTAGGCTGTTTCTCGGCCTGGGGACTGGCTACATGAGTGTGACAACTCATCACGTGCTCTACTTACGATCTGTGTACTCTTCTGTATGTTGTTATATTTCATGGAAGAAAACAGAGTAAGTGCCGAGATGATCCCCTCTCCAAGTTTAGGGCAAGTGCTGACTCAGGTACCTTACTTTTCCCTTTCCCACATGGCACCATGAAGGTCCTGGCATTTCCCCAAGGCAGCTTGTGAGTTCTTTCCATGAACCAATCCTGGGGGCCTAAAGCCTATGATTCTGGTTTCCACTGGCTCAATTCTGTTAAATTCCACCAAGTCAGGAATCTGGGAGGGCCTGGCGCAGAGAGGTGAGGGGGCTACAGTTGCCACGCAGGAGGGTTCTCGGGGGCTGGGGGAGGCACGCTCAGCCACAGGGGCACAGGATCCGTGTCCGGGGCATCCGGGAAGGAGCTGTGCTCCATCTGAGTGGGATGGAGGCAGGGGGGAGCAGGAGAGGGCCCTCAGGAGAGCACTGGAACTGGGTGGGGCAGTAAGGCAGTGGCCCCATGCCTCGCAGAGTGAGGCACTGGTTAGCTGTCGTTCTAGGGGGACTGGGCCTTGAAGGAGTGTAAGCCTCAGAGAGGCAGGGAATAGGGGAGAGAAGGGGTCATCAGAACTGGCATGGTTTGGGGATGACACTCGGGGAGGCCTGTTCCCCTTAAGTAGTGCAGAGCCAGAGTAGGATCCCCTTTGTAGGATCCTGTGAAATTGAGGCTTCCCTGTGAGGAGAAAAGAGCTTGGGCTTTGGGTTAAATCCATATCTGCTGCTGAGGAGCTTTGTAAGCTTGGGCAGAGCTCCCTGAAACCCCCCTAGCCTCACTCGCCTCCTCTGTACCCAGGGGACCAGGGTGCCTACCTTCCGGGACTGCTGTGAATATGAACTGAGGTGAGTCCTGTAAGTGCTCTAGCATCAACCTGGCCATGTAGTAGGTGCTAAATAAACAGCCGCCCTCTTTCCTGTCTCTGCAGCCAGCATTCACTTGCTGAAGGCCACCAAGATCTGCGTGACAGGCAAGAGCAACCTCCAGTCCTACAGCTGCGTGAGGTGCAATTACACAGAAGCCTTCCAGACGCAGACCAGACCGTCTGGTGGCAGAGTGAGCACGCTGAGGCCCCTGGCTAACTGTCCTTACAGCCAGCCCCTTTGCTTTGGGGGAGGGGGTGACGTGCTGGACACCCAGGCCGCCGAGCAGCTACAGCTTGGAGCCTGAAGCAGGATGCCTGGCCGCTGCTGGCCTTTGTGCCTGGGACAAGTCAGCATCTCTGGGCCTCAGTTTCCCCATCAGCAAAATGAGGGGAGCTGAACTTAAATTCTATCCCGGCTCTAAAAGCTTATACTTCTCTGATTCTGTGACTTAATGGCAAATTGTGTGGGCTACGTTCCCTTAGCAGACATTGGCTAGAGACCTCAGTTTCAGCAGTAGGTTAAGGAAGGCAATTATAAATGAAGAGGGCAGCGCACAAAGGTGCCATGTCTCTGCATTGCAGTGTTTGGAAATTCAGGGGTTCTCTGCTTTGCCTTTCAGTGGACGTTTTCCTACACAGGCTTCCCTGTAGAGCCGAACACACTATACTTCATCGGGGCCCACAATATCCCCAATGCCAATATGAATGAAGACCCCCCCTCCATGTCTGTGAACTTCACCTCACCAGGTAAACTCCCTCACTCCTCCGTCTGGCTGGGATGCTTGCCGTGGGGCGTGTGGCTTGGTGCAGAGAGGCTGGGGTACCCTGGACAAAGCATCTGGCCCCGCCGAGTCTGGTTTCCTCGTCTGTGATACACAGATGGAGTAACACGCAGTAACTATGTCTCCCTCACAGAGTGGGGGAGAGGAGTAAGTCAGATCAAACGTAGGGGACAGCCCATTCCTGTGTCGGACCCGGTGCTGAGCGCCTAACTCGCATCCTCTCACCGAAGCATCCAACAACCCTGAGGTTGGGAGAGCCCCGTTGCATAGATGAAGACACGGAGAGCTTAAGTAACTTGCCTTGGGTTACACACACAGCCCAAGAGAAGCTGACATTCCCACTCGAGTCCTTCTTGGTCAGTGACTTCCACCACTCTGTCCTTGATACAAAATGTGTCCTGCACAACGTCTTTCCACTTGGCTAGCAGGCTGTGGTATTGGGAGGAGCGGCTGGGTCTCGGCCTCCAGTGGGCCCCTGGGCTGTCAGCAAGAGGCAGGGTGGCACTGAGCTGAACGCTGGGTCATTTCCACTACTCCACACCACAACCAGCCCTCGGGTATCACACCTGCAATGTCACACACGGGGCTGTTGTGAGCATGAGGCAGGATCATGTGCTGCAGGTGGAGGGTCCAGCATGGTGCCTGGCTACGGCGGTCCCCATGCCACCCTCACCCAGGCCGGGTCATCTCTTCTGTCCTCCAGTCCTGTCCTGTCTCTGGCGAAGCATCCAAGACAAATGGGGCAATTTCCGATTCCTTGTTGTTCTTTGAGCTTGCGGTCCAGGGTGTTCCAGATTTCTCGATGAGACTAAACCTCACTTTAAAAAATAGAAATGTTTGGGCGCCTGGGTGGCTCAGTCGTTAAGCGTCTGCCTTCGGCTCAGGTCATGATCCCGGAGTCCCGGGATCGAGTCCCACATCGGGCTCCCTGCTCGGCGGGAAGCCTGCTTCTCCCTCTCCCACTCCCACTGCTTGTGTTCCTGCTCTCGCTATCTCTCTCTCTCTGTCGAATAAATAAATAAAATCTTTAAAAAAAAAATAGAAATGTTTTATTTTGGAATAAGTTTGCCAAGATAATACAAAGAGTTGCGTAGATGTCCAAAGAATTCCCGTAGGGCTCTCACCCGGTATCCCCCATCTTTAACCTGTTACGTTACCATGGTTACATTTGTCAAAACTAAGAAACCAACATCGGTACATTTCTATTAACGAAACTCCAGACTTTATTGGGATGTCACCTGCTTTTCCTGTGAATGCCCGCTTTCTGTTCCGGTCACATTTAGTCCTCGTGTCTCCTGTCTCCTCTGGTCTGTGACAGGCTTCGAGTCTTTCTTTAGTCCTCGTGACCTCTACAATCTGGAAGGCTGGCCAGGCATCCTGCAAAATGTCCCCTCGTCTGGGTCTGTCTGATGTTCGCCTCATGATTAGCCTGGGGATGTGGGTTTTTGGAGAGGTACTGCAGAGGTGGGGTGTCCTTTTCATTGCCTCCTAGCAGGGGTGGGTGACATCCACATGACATCAGTGGTGTCTGCCAGCCATCTCCATTGCAAATCTACCGACTGTCCATTTCTCTACTCTAGTTCTTGAAGACAAGTGACTAAATCTGCCCTACTCTGGGGTAGGGGTGTGGGGGGGTGAGTTAAGCTCCACCCCCTGGAAGGGGCAGTATTTACATATATGATCAAAACTCATTTTCAAGGGTTTGAGTCTTCTCCTGGGGATCACAGGTACTATTCTGATGAAGAGTGTATTTAAATCAGACTCTGGCTATCACTTCGTGGGTAATCTGTTTAGTAGTCAAATGTTAGCGTCCAGTTTAAATTCGCTATCTTACCTCACATCTTGAATGTTCTGGCAATTTGTTACAAGTGTGGTAACCCTGTGTTGTGTGTACTTGTTGGCAAGGGAGTGGAGCAGAGATACCGTTTTCTAAAACGTAAAAACTTTCATTCAAATCTGCAGGCTGCCTAAACCACATAATGAAACACACAAAAAAGTGCATCGAGGCAGGTAAGTAAATATAACATTTGCTTTTGTTATTAGAAGAAACTGGAGCCCACCCAGCTCAGTCCATCTTCCACAAAGAAACCGAGGCTTAAAGATGCGCAGTGGGCTGACCCCCAGCCGGCCCTGTGCCCGCTGAATCAAGCAGCCTGTCCAGAGAAAGGCCGACTCTGAGTAGCTTTAGGTAGTAAGGAGCAGGCACAGAAAAACATGCACCGCCTTGGTGAAATGATCCTTTCTGGCCAAACTGCACCTATGGTGGTCCATCCTGATGGAAGGCCCTCCTGACTGGAGGGGAATCTGTAAGTCCCTCCACCTGCTCAGACAGCAATACCACTGACCTCTGGCCACGGGGACCCTGTGAACCTTCTGTTTGGATTAGCAAACATTCAAGGTGCAAGTGTTAGCTCAAGTCATGACCTAGAAGCATATTCTCAACCTGTGTCTTCACGGGGGTTCACCTCTCACATGCGAGGCTATTAGAACCTGCCACTAACTACCCTTTGAATTTTGAAATAAGTCCCTTCAGGATAATCAGTCCCAAGTGTCCAGTTTCCACCGATTTTACAAGGGCGTGTGTAAATTTCTGGGTAGTAGAGTCTTAGGATGCTAATGAGGCTAGTGGTATAAGAGGGGACCAGTCCCTGTCTTTTAGGTACCCTGACCCCACAAGGCATCCCTGTGCACCCTGTCACACTGAGCTGCATGCAGTCTCCTTGGTGGAAGGCAGACTTGGAGCTTTCTGCTTCCTCTCTTGCCCCCCACCAAGAGAGATCTGGACTATGGAGGGCACGGTGAGTGTGAGGAGCTCTGTGGGCCTGTAATCAGTCCTAGACCCCTGCTCCTAAAGACAGTTCTGAGCTAGGGCCTGAAATGCTCTCCCAGGTGGGGGAAACAATGCACACTATCATCTCTCATGTTCCTGGAAATTAACCTGGTGCTGATTTGCAAGTCACAACAATCAACTGACTTTTTCCCACAGGGTAGGCCTGTCCGAGTATCTGCTAAGCGATGAGGCATTTCCTTATTTCTTCACATTCAGTAAAGCCAGGAGAATGGTCTGATGGATGAAGCTCCTAGAACCCAGAATGTTCTAGTAGCTGTAGTCCTGATGCTGAATTCACTTGCTCTATAATCTTAGACATGTCTTGTGGCCCGTGGTTCCTCCTCCCCATCCTGAAAAGGAGAAAATGCTGACCCTACCCTTAACTCAAAATGGATGTTGAGAATAGGAGTAGTAGAACCCGATCTGTGCCTCCCACTACCCCCAGCCCAGGGAAGCTATCTTATGCAAAGCAGTGACATGGGGCCCCTAAACTTTCTTGGGCAGCAGGTACTTTGAGGTTCTGGGAGCAGTGATTAATAAAAAGTACACTATGCAGTAGAGCCCGTATCTCTTGGATGCACGATTGCCTGAGAACTTAGATTTGTTTTTGTCAAGCCCTTTGGGGGACTTAAATGAGCGACAGTTTGCAACTCCATCCATGTGATTCTCTCTTGACTCAGGAAGTCTGTGGGATCCAAACATCACTGCTTGTAAGAAGAACGAAACGGCAGTAGAAGTGAATTTTACAACCAGCCCCCTTGGAAACAAATACATGGCTCTCATCCGAAATAACATTGTGATTGGGTTTTCTAACATGCTGGAGGTACTTCATCCCTTCGTTTCCTAACACCATCCCCCCATCCTCAACCTCCAGCCTTCCTCACCTTGTTGACGAAAAATGTAGACGCTCTAGGATGCCCTGGACAGGCTCTCAATGTTAACAGAGTGCAGACAGGACTGTCCATTGTCCAAATGTGCTAGGCTCTTTCGATGCTTTCAACAGAGAGAAGCAAGTCCCTGGGAACATCCCTGGAAATGTCCCCGAGAACCTAAAACTAACCAAAAGTAGACGTTTCAGAAGTAGGAAATGAATGGTTGTTCAGAGTCTCGTCAACTGAGAGTTTGGGAAGAGCGCTTCCCTCCCTGGCTGTGTTTGTTGTTGGCCTCACTTGTCTGGCTCACGTGTCTTGATTTTTGTCTCACGTAACCTGCACCAGAACAACCCCCCAAGTCGAGCTTCGGTGGTGATCCCCGTGACGGGGGAAAGTGAAGGTGCTGTGGTCCAGGTAAGGCTTAACGAGGTGTTTGGGGAGGGCCAGGCGCACTGGTCCTTCCAGCTGTTTCCATGAGGTCCCTCCCACTATCTCCCTCCCTCAGCACACTCCTGCCTGGCCCTCAGGGACGTCTGCAGGGCATCCCTGCCTCCGGGGCTACAGAGGCAAGGGCCAGAGCCGACCTCAGGGTCACGATTCCCTCTGCTTTTATTTGTGGCTGTTGACTTGCCGTTTTTAGTCACAGAGCCTCAGAGTAATTCTGAGACAGGAGTACCATTTAATTTTCCCAACTGCAAAATGAAGCAACAAAGGATTGGAAATCAGAAGGTTTGGGTGGAGGTCAATGTATGAACTTTGAAGGGCAGCCGCCTCCTTTGACTCCCCTGGGAAGCAGGAAGCTGGGAAGCAGGAAGTTGGACCGGTAGATGCTCTCGGGTCTCTTTCAGCTCCGAGTTTATGATATGGGGACATCGAGGGTCATAGTGGGACACAGCCACGCCCGAGGTCTAAGTAGCTTTTGTTTCTCATCCCCTGGGACATAAAGGCAGTACTCAGAGGGAGCAGATAACTGGCAGCATATTATGACGGCATCCCTTTTCCAGGGAACCAGACTTTCCTAGTCCCCAGGGGTGTGTCTGTCAACAGGAGCTCTACTGCTCTGGGTTTTTTTTAGAGGAAATATTTGTATATGTATTAGGAGGTGACCTAACCCTTTTAGATAAGGAAACCAACACGTTAGCAACACGTACAAAGTTTAGGTTCACAATTCAGGAGTTGGAAGGTATTCGGTCTTGGGTCACTGGTTTGGATTTTAGGGCTTTGTTATGGAAGTGTGCCCAAGGGAAAAAATGTCCTATTACCATGCCAGGGTGGGGGTGTGGTTCCACCCAAAAGAGAAAGGGTTTTGGTGGACGTAGGCATCGTGCTGAGGTTTTGCTCTGAAGCATGATGGGAACTTCCTGAGCCTCTTGTTTTTCCCTCAGCTGACTCCGTATTTCCACACTTGTGTCAATGACTGCATCCGACGCAAAGGAACAGTTGTGCTTTGCCCACAATCGGGCATGTCCTTCCCCCTGGACAGTCGTAAGTGCCCACCATTTCCGCACGGTCGTCAGAGAGGTTCGGGACCTGAGGGGCCCCACCAGTGCCTCCCCGTTTGCTGTGTGCTGGGGCGTGCCTGCCCCGCGGGAGGGTAAGGGGGTCCCCGCTGTGCACATGGGGCTGGGGTGCAGGGGTAGAGGGCGAAGCCGCGCCAGACTGAAAACAAAGGTTCTATGTATGAATTCACGGCAGGATCCTTTATGAAACAGGATACACCAAGAAGGTGGGGGGTAGATAAACAGTGCAAAAATGGATGTGCAGGGTGCCACAGGGATGGGCCGGAAGGTCAGGGGCATTAGAGGACCGAGTACGGAAGGGAAGGGGCATTTCACGGCACTCTGGTTTTCTGACCAGTCTCCGTGGCCCTGGCCTAACTGTGACCGTAGCTTGGTGTGGTCACACAGCCAACATTTGGATAACAAATTAGGACTATGAGCCCCCAAAGACACGCCTCACTGATGCCTGAGAGCAGCATGTTTGGGGAAACTGTCTCTCTGCATTTAGAGATGTCAGTTCTCTTGTTACAGACAAATAAAATGTTCGCAGAACTAGCCTGGGGTGGAGTCAAAAGTTAGAAAGTGTTATTCTTAGAAACTCAGCGGAACAAACTGAGGACCCAGGTGCCTGGCAATCCTGACTTCCGTGTGGGCACAGTGCCTATGGGTTCCTGAGCTTACCTGACCGACATGCCTGTGGGGGGCACCACTACCCCCCATGTTTGTCAGTCTAACAAAACAGCCTTTAAAAATGGCATCTGTGTGTACTATATATTAAGTAATCATGCCCACAATAACATCAATTCATCAAAGAACAAAAAAAACCCTGAACATCAACTCCGGTTACCACAGTGAAAATGCCTGCACGTATGTGGAGTAAGAAGCAAAAGTGATTTTGGGGGAACTTTCTTAACCTCCTGGGTCCCACATCCCTTTTGAGCATCTAACGAATGGCCTGCACACGCTGTGGAAAATCGCACCAATCTGCAGATCCCCTAGAGGTATACTGCCCCTAGGTTTTATAGGAACCTAAACTTCTACAAAGTATAGAGTGAAACTCTTGGCTTCCAAATAGGAGGTACATTTGGTTTTGTGTTGCTGAAGGTAAATAGACTTTGTTTTCTCCAGGCAGAAGCATGCTGGGCGGCTGGCTTCCTCTTCTCCTCTCAGCTCTGCTGGTGGCCACATGGGTGCTGGCCGTTGGGATCTATCTAATGTGGAGGCACAGTAAGTGTGAGAATTCAGTTCTCGAAAGACACCCGAATGAGGAGAAAAACATTTTTGAGTTGTTTTTTTTTTTTAAAGACGAGTCCTCTAGAGGCAGTCACATTTTGGTGTTAGGACAAAAGTCAGGTAGCACTGATGTAATCAGTGCCGTAGAGCTCTCCACAAATGCCGGTAACAATGACTGGGCCACATCTGCCAAGGCAAAGCAGGGATGGGGACCTCCCAATCTGGTCACTACCACCACTATCATTTTTACCGAGGCGTCTACAAGGACTGCTGTGGGCAAAAGGCAGCTAATAATGAATTGCGTTTTGCCTCTAATAGGTACTCCAAGCTAGTTCCTACTTTTTAAAAATAAATCTTCCATGGCGTAAGAACAACACTCACTTGAATTCATATACTCTAGGGACCTCGCCAACTCTAAAACATCAAGGATTTGAATACAGTAATCAGAGTATTTGGACAGATACACTGACAACCTCTGCTTCTCCTCTTCTCCACACGGAGACAAAATATAAATGCGCCCTTTGAGTCACTTGTGATGTTGTGGACAGTACAAGGTTAATCTCATAACCTAAGTTAGAAAGCCATGTGGAACTCTGACCTTGGGAATACTCCAGTTTGGGGGATATGGTATGGCCTGTTATTAGTTACAGTGCTTTCGTATGTAGTTTCTGTTGTAGAGCAGTTCTAGCTGAAATGGGGTACCAGTTAACCTTACGCAACCACTAAGAAACTTTACCACCTGCAGATAGAATATGGTCCAATTACTGAGTTGACCCAACTCAGAACGTGATGTGAAGGACAGGTCAGGTGGCCCTGTTTGTACAGGACACTGAGAATAGTACAATTACAACCACTCACCTAAAAAAAGTACCTCAAACCTCAACCGCCTCTATGAATTTACTTGAAAAGATATGGCTGAAGAGGATCTATTTAGTGGTAAGAACTTGGAAAATACATCTTTTTTTTTTTTTTAAAGATTTTATGTATTTATTTGACAGAGAGAGAGAGAGCGAGAGTAGGAACACAAGCAGGGGGAGTGGGAGAGGGAGAAGCAGGCTTCCCGCGGAACAGGGAGCCTAATGTGGGACTCGATCCCAGGACCCTGGGATCATGACCTGAGCCGAAGGCAGACTCTTAACGACTGAGCCACCCAGGCGCCCCGGAAAATACATCTCTTAAAGCATCTTTAAGGATTAAACATCAGTGTGTTTCAGGTGATACTTTTAAAATGAACATCGGGGACAGTTTCCTTTCTGGCAGTAACAACGTCGCTGGTGCTCAGCCAACGTTCCCTAGCAAGGGATCATTTATTAATGGTGGTTCAAACCAGAGTGAAAGCCTGCTGTTCGCTGTTCACAGACAACAAATGCTTTCTCTCCCCACAGACAGGACCAGGAAGGCTTCCTTCCCTACTACCACGCTCCTGCCCCCCATTAAGGTTCTTGTGGTCTACCCATCTGAAATTTGTTTCCATCACACAGTTTGTTACTTCACTGAATTTCTTCAAAACCACTGCAGAAGTGAGGTTGTCCTTGAAAAGTGGCAGAAAAAGAAAATAGCTGAGATGGGTCCGGTGCAATGGCTTACCACTCAGAAGAAAGCTGTGGATAAAGTCATCTTCCTTCTTTCCAATGACGTCAACCCCAGGTGTGAGGGCACGTGTGGCAGGAGTGAGGGCAGCCCCCATGAGAATTCCCAAGACCTGTTCCCCCTGGCCTTTAACCTTTTCTGTAGCGATCTGAGAAGCCAGACTCCCCTTCACAAATACATGGTGGTCTATTTTAGAGAGGCTGATACCAAAGACGAATACAGCGTGCTCAGTGTCTGCCCCAAGTACCACCTCATGAAGGATGCTCCTGCTTTCTGTACAGAACTTCTCCGTGTCAAGCAGCAGGTATCAGCAGCAAAGAGGCTGACGGCCTGTTCCCTGTAGCCCACCCATGAGAAGTGAGGGGCCTTGAAGCCTTCGTACTCCTCCAATTACAGGGGGAAAGTATCTCAGATGATTCTGAAGTTTCCTGTATGGGATATGTGCAGGGGGATTTTATATACACCTGCTTTATTTAGCAATAGGAATAGGGAGGATTCCTAACTGAATACATACGCCTTAGTTTAAGCAAAACTTTTATGCCAAAAAAACTGTTACAAATACTAACTACTGTAGCATCAACTGATGGACAGAAACTAAATTTACAATTATAAAGCTAAATCAACTTCATACCTAGAAGTCCAGGAGAATTATAATGCAGAACTATAACCAGTCTGATAACACAATGGTAAAGCATCCTCCAGCCGAATACCCAGTCCTGAATAGCCCATGCACTGCACAGTAAATAGAACTGTTTATTTCTCTGACACTCTAAACTTAGTGAATACCAAATTTAAGAAAGCCTTTGCTCATTCACGAACTTCATGGGTGAACAACCCTCTATTACATACAAAAGCCATTTTTAAGAAAACAGAAGAGTAAGAAGCCGAACTTCTCTTTGCTGACCAGAGACGCAGTACCCGTGTAGCCACTTACATTAGCCGGCACTTGCAGAGGACCGTCCGGCTCTGAGCTAGATTCAGGTCCTCTCCGAGTCTTGTACAGGTGACTTTTAATATGGACACCGACATCCATTACCTGCAGACCTGATGTCTACTTCAGCCCAGTTACCTATTAGAGGTTACTGTCAAGAGTTCAGAGTTTCTTGGTTATGTGACTTCTCATGTTCCAAAACACAAGTAATTCCTGCTCTGTTCAAAGTCAGCACTCTTGAAGTAATCTTTTTATAAATGAGTTATTATAATGGTTTATTTAAAAAAAAAAAAAGTACCAGAGAGCTAGGTATGTATGGTATTTTAAATCTTCTGACTTTTTCCTCTAAAAGTATCTTTTTCTTAATGCAGAGGTTACCAACAGGCCATTTATATTAGTGTGCAGTTTTTCTAGGAATGCTTGTCTCTCTCACACAGTACGATACTGAATCTGCCCTAGAGTGTGGATCAGTTTCCACTGGATGCCTGTTAAAATGTATTTGTGAAGGGCTAAAATTATCCTTAAAGGGCCAGGTCTTATGGATAAAATAAAAATCAAAATAAGGAAGCACAGAGTGAAAACTCACCGTGTCCAACTTCACAAGTAGACACTTAGTAATGGCTGAGGCAACATGTTTAATGTGGTTAAGCTCACTTACTTGTCATGACCAGTTTTTACCACACTTAAAAGTGCTGGTAACAGAAGGACACAGCTTATGTCAAAAATTGGACCAGAAACCAACTTCCTCTGAATCAACATCTACCAGTTATAAGAGCAATAGGCGATTATGTAAAAAAAAAAAAAAGATACACAAAAATACATTTTGCTTTTGAACTAGGTAACCATTAATAAATTGTGTTGAAACAGCTCAGAAACATAAAATCAACATTGTATAAATTTATTTTGTTAAAAAGTTAAAAAAATAAAGAGCATACAATCTTCAAATTGAAAGCACCTATCTTCAACAGTACCAACAAGGTAAAATCATTGTTATACCGATGGACTCTTCTTTGTTCCTCACCTACTGATCACATATATGTAGGATACTCCTTGTTATGCAAATGCTCCAGGACCAGCATTTCTCCATGCCCTGAGACTTCTAACCATCCTATTCTATATTCCATTCTTACCTCCATCTCTTATCCAGCCCTACTTTTGTCAGCCCCCCTCCCCCTCCGCCAGTCCCATTCCACTCCCATATCTCCAGTTCTGGATGAGCAGATGGTGGACGCAGATGCCCAGCAGGAGTGGCAGGAATCAGGCATTCCCCGTGCTCCCAGGTCTCTGAGCCCCCAGGCTGTGCTGACAAGCTTCTGTCTCCAGCTAATGCCTAGCCTTCCTCTGGCCAGGGGCTCAGAAGGCTTCACCAAGGCCTGGGCCACTGGTGCTAATAGCTGTCTGTACTTAGATTTCACTTCAGACTGTTCACAGATTAAGATCAAATGATCTTACTGAGCACAAAGAGTTCCAAAACCTCTCTCTTGGTTCTTCAGATAAAGGAAATTTGGGGACTTGATGATTAAGTTGGTAGTAATAAGGTGACCAGCAGTCACCTTATTCATCTGCACAAGTTAACAACTATAAATTACACCTGAATTGTTTCGACTTGGCTTTAGGAAGGAAATGGGTTTTCCTTTTCAGTTGTTGTTCTGTTTTGGTCAGATAAGGATTTTCTTTCCCTATAGCCCACCCTGAAGCATGTGGAGTAACCAAAGCCAGCCAGCCCATCCTTAAATTTTTGCCTTTGGAAATCCAGAGCTCAACTGGTCACAGTCTTTTTTGTAATCCAATAGAAAAAGAAAAAAAGAACCTTTTCTCTCCCTATTTGGAATTCTAAGAGCACCCCTGAGTCGAAACAATGTGTGCCTGCTGAAACACGTGAGGGAAGTGGCCTGGCCAGTTCTCAGGATTCAGGTACCCGAGCCATACACCCACCCCTTGTGGCTGTGTGATTATCTGATGACACTAAGGTCAACTTAAGCCAAGGTGTGTACATGGGAGCCACTCAACAGCAACATTTCACATCATCAGGGAGCTCCTGTGACCCTGAGAAAGGGGCAGGAGCATTTACCACTGAAAAGTAAGTTCATATTTATTCGTAAATGTCCTGGCTACAAAAGCAGCTTATAATTTCACACCAGTGTCCTATTGTCAACGTAAAAGTTAAAATTCATTTATTTTCCATGAAATTTAAGCATCTAAGTCAATAAATTAAAATATATATATTCTTCAAGAGTCTTTTATATACCAGGAGGCCTATTTTTGGTCTGTAATAGTGACTTTCTGCCCATTTTCACCAGACAAAAGCAGCTCGCTCTCGTAACATGCGGACACCAAAGCGCTGCCATTCTCTCTGATAAATCCACAGTTCCTGTGTGGTGTCCAAACAAGCCAACACGGCCCCTCCTTTCCATGCAATCAGCCGGGGATCCATATCCTAGGGAAGTGATAAAGGTATTTCAGCAAAAGCGGACAAGACATATACTTAATCATTTCCTTGAATTTGGGGGTAAAAAAACCCTGCTGAATCAATACCTAAAAAGCCAAATTTTTCAACATGCATTAAAGACTCATCCATACAGGACCCATGAACTACAGACATCTTTGTGTTCCAACCGGTAAGAAAACTTTAGTGTTTATTACTGAAGATGCTACTATTCACTATTATTCCACAAATAGGCCCCATATGCAGGAACATACATATAAGGAAATCATAGAGTGGAATAAATATATCCCATAACCCCTTCCTCAGGATTAAAATTAAATAAGAACATCCCCAGGAATTGTTCGTGGGATATAATGAAATACAGACACAATCTTTTTCTAAATTTCAGGGTTTATGTTTCTTTCCAAGATAGTTCAAGCCAAAAGATGCCCTGCTCCAGGGCCAGCAAAAGATCCTTAATATGACAATGAAAACTGGAGTTGTTGTGGCCAATGGGAGACCAGCCAGTCTCTCCCTGCCCCACCCAGTCCTTTTCCAAAGGCATGGCTTTTGGGAAGTCGGTCATGCTACTCTGGAGAGCACAGCAGGGACTAACACCCAGGACTCCAGGCCCCTAGCCCAAAGCTCCTTGCACCAAATCTGTGACCTACTGAAATTTTTCCACTTGCCCAAACCCTTAATTAAGAGCTGCCCAGACGCGGGGTGCCTGGGTGGCTCAGTCGTTAAGCGTCTGCCTTTGGCTCAGGTCATGATCCCAGGGTCCTGGGATCAAGCCCCGCATCG